TCGCCTGCAGAGGCTTCACCTGGGGAGCCCTTGAGCGGCCCGTGGGCGGGCGTGTCGGGCCTGTGCTTACCTTCACCTGGGAAGCCCTTGAGCCGCCCGTGGGCGGGCGTGTCGGGCCTGGGCTTACCTGGGCCAGGTGTGGCTCCTCGGCCCTCGTTGGGCCGCTTTCCCCTTCCTCCCCTTTTTAAGGCCGGTTCCCTCCGCTTAGCCCGGACTCCAGGCCCCAAGTCCTGGCCACGCAAGAGCGCGCAGAGGGGTCCACGCCGTGGGCAGGCGGAGTGGCCAGGGGGGGCCCGGCCCCGTTCCCCGCTGCGGGCTTGGGGGCTGGCTGGCGAGGGCCAGGCCCGAGGCCCCGCTCCGCACCCTGGGGAGGGGGTCCTGGCTGTGCTTCTGGGGGCCTTGGAGTCCCATTCTCTTGTGCTTGTTTGTTTGTTGGTTTTCGCGCAGATCCTCTCTCACTTCACTCTCCTTGTTCCCCTCCCCCGTCCCCCCAGGGATAAGGACCGAACAGGACTTCTACGTGCGCCTCATTGACTCCATGACAAAACAAGTAAGTTGTTTCTTCATTTCGCGCCGCAGGGGTACTCTAGGGCCGCAACATTTAGGGGAGTCAAGAAGCTGGCTACTCCCCAGCGAGAGGGCTGGGACTCGAACTCTCAGCATCAGGGCCGGCCGCGGACCCGGCTCTCTCTCGGCGCCGCCTTCCAGGTGCGCATGCATTCAGGCATTTGTGCCCGCCGCGTGGGGAACGTGGCTCGACGGCTCTCCTAAGGGAAACGCAGACCTTAGGGCGATGGGCTGCTGAGTGGGGAGAATGTAGGCTCAACTTTGCCTGACCCCGCCGGGTGCCCCAGGGGGCGCACAAGGTGTCCCGGGGAAACTGGTGAGGAGTGGGCCAGATGTGCAAAACCCGAACCGCTTGGGCCTCCCCCAGGAGGCCTGGGGTAGAGGGAGCTTCTCCAGGAGTGGTGAGGCGGGCTGAGAACGCAGATGATCCACTTCACAGATTTTTTAAAAGGAGGAGGTAGTGGTGGTGGTGGTGTGTTGGAAGAGGGAGCGACAATTGTTAGAGGATATTTTGCAAAAATCCTCCTGCCTTTGCCTCCAAGTTTGGCCAGAAGCCAGGCAGCATGAGTGAGCTTGTGGTCTTAAAGGTACATAGAGGACGTTTCTTAAGCTCCCCAACAAGCATTAAGTCAAGCGGTATACATTAAGGTTGAGTTATGGTTTAAAAGATACAATTATGAGCCCAGTCAGAAAAGAGGCCTGACGTTTTAATGAGGCACAGGAGTTTTTCCCCTCCCATTTCTTTTAAATTTTAAGAAAAAGTTTAGTTTCAGAACTAAGTAATAGCTGGTTAGGTAGTTGGAGAACTTAGTCACGGAAAAAAGAAGACAGCTTTATTGGGTGAGGGAAAGAAATCAGAACAAAGAGAAAAGTTATCCATTGTGTACCAACTACCAATTCAGTAGGAGGGTTAAAACTTGCTTGATTGTGATTTAAAAGTATTCCCTTTAAAATAAGGGAGGTGATCTTCTTTCATTGATATTGGTTTGGAAGTTTTCAAATGAAGATATACATACATATTTAAAAGTTGTTTTTAGGTAAGCATGGCTTAAATATGTTGTACAAAATGCACACCATTAAGCTGTTGTAAGGTTTAAAATCTATCAGCAAGAATAAATTTAATAACAGCTAATTTTGATTATTACCTGATATTTCATTGCAAACCAAGTAGAAAATGAGGGTATGAGACATATTTTTAAGATAATAAATATCTATTGAAATCTATTTCAAGTATTTGCAAAAAAAAAATTGGACTTTCTTGAAGATCTAGTTATTTCTTGGTTGATTGTTCAGAGTAAATCCACACTGATAGTTTTAGTCTTTTTTTAATTTACTGGTTTTTGTAATTATATAGGAGAATTCCCTTTTAATTGGATAGATTATATTTTGTTAATTTTTCCCCCCTGCCAAGCAGAAAACAAAAGCCTGATTTCTATAACAGTTGTTTTTTTCACGATATCAAAACAAAAATGTCTTAAGTGATGTTTTGTTTTAAAAAAATTGTCTTTGATACCTTGATTATCTTTTCCTGCCATTCTCATCCCAGGAAAGAAAAGATGGGAGGGGGTGGGGAAAGTATGAACTCTAATATGTATTCCATATGTATTTGTTAAAATTTACTTTTTGAAAGGTAAAAAAAATCTCCACATACCAGTATATAAGGCCTGTCTGCTTATGCAACATTGACAACTTAAATATTAAATTATAGGCAGCACTATGAAAGCAACAGTTGCGTGGTGCACAAAATTAGGACATGTTTGAAGTGATTAACTTCTCTCAAAACTTTATATTAGACCCCTTACACAAAAAGTGCTACCAAAAATCAATTTTCCCATTATGAAATGAACTGACTTTACACACTTTCATATGGTGGGAGAATAATCTTTTATATTTTTATAAAGCAACACATCAAATATCATTTTACTAACTAGGTTACAGAGCTTAAGAAAAATTATAGCTTAAGGCATCCTTTGACCTCTTGGTTATAATAAATTCTACCAGGTGTGTGTGTGTGTGTGTGTGTGTGTGTGTGTGTGTGTGTACTAGAACAAGATACAGTTTATTTTTAATAATAGCAGGTATGAGAAAGTCATTTGCCATAATATGACATCTCCCTGGAAGTTAAAATGATAAATGTATACAGTTCTATATTTTGGTGAGGAGTGACCGGAGAAAAGGTTTAAATAATTCTCTGAATTTAGTCTAAAAATATCAAGAAGAAGAGATTTTTTTTTTTGAGTCATACCTGTTTGCTTTCATAATAATTTCCTAATGCCTCTGTGTAGCTTTCACTTTGAAAGACAATCCTTGCCCATTCTCCGGCTGCACGTTCGTTGATTATGTGCTGTTAGAGTTTGGGAAGTAGGTTAGCTTCTTGTGTACACAATTAACACAATAGTCTTTAAAAAGCAGATCAGTTTGAAGAAGCATAACTTTCCTTAGCTGTGACATAATTATTATATTTTAGCCTTGATGAGTAAAACAAGGGGTGTTCATTTAGTTTGAATTATTCTATGATAATTAACTACCAAGTCTGATAAAAAATTCTTAAATTTTTGATTTTAGTTAAATGTGCAGTAACCCATTCAATCAGAAGTAAGGCTAAAGCTGACTGAATAAATGGTACCCACCCCCTGCCCCCCACTCAAATTCTTCTAGATCAGTGGTTCTCAACCTTCTGGCCCTTTAAATACAGTTCCTCATGTTGTGACCCAACCATAAAATTATTTTCGTTGCTACTTCATAACTGTAATGTTGCTACTGTTATGTTATGGATCATAATATAAATATCTGATATGCAGGATGGTCTTAGGCGACCCCTGTGAAAGGGTCATTCAACCGCCAAAGGGATCGCTACCCACAGGTTGAGAACCGCTGTTCTAGATAGACTCAGGATTTTGATATTTAGAATGCAGACTGGAATATTTTCAGTGATGTGATGCATTCTAATAGCATCATAAGTTTCAGAGAGAATACGTAGCCACAGTTCAAGTCTTCCTTTAGCTGCTGGTTTATTGTAACACTTTTCAGATCTGAGATACAGCGTTATGTGTGTGATGTCATATCTTTGCCTCACAAGATGGGGTTAAAAATCAAAGGGAATTTTTGGCAAGCAGAATCCAAAACTAGCTGTGCACTCCACATTTTCATAGAATGTCCCTGATCTTGGGTGGAGTTAGAATCATTGAGATCAAACAGAAATGTACTCAACCAAGATATGCTGGTATGACACACACTATTTCACACCTTTTCAAAGTGTCTCATGACACTCTTTTGGATAATGACTCTTAATTTTGGACTCTCCCAGAAAGATGAAGCTTCATTAGAAGTGAATGTGTAAGGAACTGAGCCCCCTATCCCTCTGCCTCTTGTATAAAACACAGAGGATATAATGATATTTTAAAAATTCATCCACCAACTAGAAAATAAGAGGCTTGCTTTTTGGGAAGGGTTGTTCAAAACCAAGTTTAGCTGGACTAAAAATAGGTTGTTTTTGTGTCATTGCTGTTTTTGGTATTCCATTAGTGAGCATGCAAAAAGGCCTGTAGAATTCAGAACTTTATGGCTGTTGCATCCAGAAACAGTATCTACTGCAGAAGCTCAAGTGAACCCGGTGGGGAGGTCTGAGGTTAAATCTGCTTCATTTCAGATTTTCATGTAGTATTTGAAATTGGATTATGTTCTGTGATTGCTTCACTGAGTTATTTATCTTTTAATAGTTAAAAAAAGCATTTAACTTATCTTCCCTCCTAGTATTTTGCTTTAAAAAAAAAGTGACAGCTTTATAATTCAAAGAAAGAGCATCAAAGTCCATAAAGTTATCAAAAACAAAACTCTCCCTGCCCCCAAACAAAAGCTTTTTTTTTTTTTGAAATGGGGAAAATAATGGCCACATAATCCTTGAATGTATAGGTTTGAAGGTAGGTGATGTGGTGAGGGAACTCTAAAAGGTCCCAGCACAGTGGGAGGTGCAAGGAACAATAATCAGAAATGCTGTCATATTTCTTTTCCCAACTAATCTTTATATATTTGTTTTGATGTTCCTGGTACTTTAAGTTATTGATGCAAGTGCATTTTTCCCTATTGATTGTTTCATTATATCCTGCCACAGCTACGTAGATTTGATTAACAACCCTTTCAGTTCGTGGTTCTTCATTGGTAGATAAACACATTTTTAGTATATCAATAAGTTCCAAAGGAATTCACTAGGTCAGGAGAGAGGGTCTTTCATACTTTTGGAAAAACATACAAACAAAAAAGAGCACAAGGCAAGATTATAGTCAGGAGCCATATTTCAGCAGCTTTCTTTCTTCTTTGGTAAAACGTAAAAAATGCAGGTGATTTAAATTTCCTTGCACATGGAGGAATGAAGAAGTTTGGAATTTTTATGCATGATCAGGACCTGTGTTTGGGAAAATGTAAACTCATCACAGTGGAAAATGTGTTGTTTGGAGTCTGGGGGTGAAAACAAAGCTGATGGTTTTGGAGAGATTGCCGGAGCCAGATGGCCTAGTACTTCCCCAGTCTGGCGGTCCAACTGCTCCCTCCTGGATAATATACAGCCATTTGTTCGGGGATATTTACGCTAGAGCTGTTTCCATGTGAATGTTTGAACAGCATTAAAAAACGAACATATTAGTAGTGATGCATTTCTAGAACTTGTATGAGTACACCGATAGACTGTTCTTATGCCTTTACTTACATTGCTGAGAGGCAGGAAGGAGGGTTTGGATATCGGTGAATTGTTTATATAGTTGTTGAACAAGAATAATTTGGTCTTAGTGAGTAATTAGAATATGTAAGCATTTGGAATTAAATTAATGGAAATTAGGGGAGAACCTACCTCAGAGCTCTGTTGTGAGAATTATATGAACTCATACATGTAAAGTGCTTAGAATAGTGATGGGCACACATTAAGTGCTTAATAAATTAGCTGCTGTTTTTTTATTATTATTATCATCATCATCATCATCCTATTGGATT